GTTTGAAACCTGGCGGCTGTATTTCTTATAAAAGTGAAGCCAAACCATGGCAACACCGTGGGTTGTAGTAGTCGGTGTTTGGATTGGTGTTATTGTTGAGGAGAGTGGATTGAGTTTATTGTTGAGGAGAGTGGATTGAGTGTATTGTTGAGGAGAGTGGCAAAGAAATAATTACACACACACACACACACACACACACACACACACACACACACACACACACACACACACACACATCATGCTTAATGTTTTATTATCAAGGTGAACACATGAAATTCATCAGTGTCTGGAAACTTCACCTACATAAATGAGTTTCACAGCACTACACTGTTTCAGCTTTGATCGCCTCGGTAAACACGTCATAAACGGGGCGTTAACATAAGCCTACTGGCATTTTATGGTTGTCAGCTTTGTTGCATTACATTTACTTCACCAGGAGATGGTGCTGCAATTTCTATCTGAATGAAGCTTCGAGTAATAAACCATTTTCGACACAATTGTATCGGAAAGCAATAATGCTTCGAAACGCTTCATTTGGCCATCACTTATCGCAAGCACTTTAATGATCCAACAAACAAGTAATCCAGGGTAAATACAGTACAAGGTACACGGAACTAGGAACCTCGCAACATCAAACAACGACCGACAAACAACAACTGAAGAACATGGGTATACACAGGCAAACAAGCTAAACAAGATAACAAGGGGGCGTAGCTAATCAGAAACACCTGGGAAGACTAATAGACAGCAGGGAACCACTAAACATGACAAGACAAACCCACACCGTGACACTAAGGTTAGCAGTTTGGTGCAAACTCCGCCCCTTGGACGATTTCATTTGCCATTTCAATCACGTAGTTACCTGTCAAGAAAAGTTCAGACTTCAGAAAAATCATGGACACCCATGAGGACAAAAAGCAATGTTATACTACCTATCGGGATGTGCCAACGCTGGTCAAGGTTATGGCTTAAGCCCAATTTATACTTCTGCGTCGACCTCCCGCCGTAGCTACATCGTAGGCTGTGTGTAGCGCGCGTACCGTACCTTCGGCGTACCCTGACGTGCACCTCTACAAAAATGTAACAACGCGTCAATTCTAAGTGGGCGCAAGCGCTGTGATTGGTCTGCTAGAACCGTTCCCTCTGCGTGCATCAACGCGGACAACGACGCAGAAGTATAAATGAAAACCAATGCGTAGTCTACAGCGTAGAGGCTCCGGCGTAGGTCCGACGCAGAAATCAGCCTTTAGGCCGGTTATGCTTAAGATAGTATTTGTTTCAGTGTTGTGTAGGCATGCAACGCTGTGATTGACATTGACCAATTAAATCTTTAGAATTGGCTACGGGGCGGGGTTTAAAGTCCCTGTAAAGTCAAAATGAAGTATGTGTTCTGAGTTTGTCATATCACAGAAAAATGTGTTATTAGACACCCAGCCAAATTTGAATGATAAAAAAATCCGACAAGTACATAAAATAAGCTATCAAAATCTTGAAAAAATGAGCAGTAGTCTCTGCTCTCAAACGCTGGGGCGTGTCCGTTGGCTGCGCTGAAACCACGCCCACTAGTGGTAAAGATGCCGTCGCCACAATCAACTGTCACCCGCTACAGCCGGAATGGATGCTCCTAGCAGCTTATTAGTTTAATTATAACATGCGCACAAGGCAACTACACTCATTGGTGGGCACGCACTGCCGATGATGCCACCAGTTGTCGGCGCGACGGGAGGATGAAGGCCGAGGCGGGAGATAGTCGTTTCGGCCCCATTCACCAGTAACAGCGGATTACCAGTGAATCCCAGTTGTCTCCGACGAAAGTTTATAAAACTATCCCGTGTAAAATGATCACTACAGAGGCGGGTTTTGGTGGTGATCCTCAGCTCTCCATCAAGGTGGCTCTTCACAAAATTAATCCACCTCTTCTTGATGTGATCGTATTTAGGAAATTTAAATAAAGACACCGATCTGTTTTGTACGTGATCACATCCAGGTAGTACGCATTTCCGTGAAGAAAGACATAGGTGCCTCAGGCGCTCCAGTGCGTCATCAGGTAGGGGCGTGGCCAGGAGCTCCGGCACTCCAGTGCGTCATCGAGTACCCTTTTAGCCCCGCCCAAAAAATCCGTAAAATATCAATGGTGAAAAACTGTTTAACGGTCTAACTCCACAATTCAGTACTTCACAGTCTTTGTAATGTGTTTTAGCAATACATTTAACATTTATAATGTGTTTAGAATTTTTTTTAAATTGCCTTTACAGGGACTTTAAAGTAAGTGGCTCTCACTCACTGCAGAGCCAAATGACATCCAGCTCCCCCTATCTGGACGCGATGGGTTGATGGCGATTGACCTAGTCCCGCTCCACCTCTGTGAACCTAAAAGCTTTTAGGCATATTTATTTATTTATTTATTCTAAAACAATTTTTGGGTCACTCATTGTTCGAGTTGCTTCAAGTAAAATGTTCATAATGTTCTGTATAGTTTCTAATCTACACGTGGAAATCAGTATGTAAGTATGTGAATCAACAAATGTGTCTCTGTCTGTGACTAGTTAGCCTGTCATTTTTTAATCGTATTGGGTGAAGTGATACTATATCACCTCAATCATAAGTTATGATTAAGGTTGCAGCTAAACTCTCCTGGACAGTGGGTCTCCAGTATCAGGGTTTGAAGACACTGGGCGCTCCAGGGCAAAGTTTTTGGAAACACTGGTCTAAAATCTACTTAGTCTTTCAGACTATGCTAAAATCATGCAGCCAGTTGCAAAAAAACCCTTTAAAGTCCCACTCCGATCATATTTTGAGCTATTTGTAAACATTCCCAGTGGTCTTTAAATTATGATTATGCCATTTTTAGCCAAACTCACAAAACCTGTGCCGTTTTCTGTGACTTTGCTTCAGCAGAGCGGCAGTAGCTCATTAGCAATTCGCCTCTGCGTTGTGGGCGGAGCCGTTGGCACGGAGATGACCCTCCCCCTCCCCGTTGCTGAGAGCTCTGTCTCTCCCGCTAGCTTACACCCCCAACCTGTCATTACCGGTGCAACAAAAATTGAGAGCAATATTGGAGCTATCCAGCCGTACAGTGCGTTTTCGTTTTAAAACGCATAACTTTTGCAACGATTATGCGCTCCTGCCGTCCACATTACTGACCCTCGGCCTCGAAAACGGAGACTGACCCCTTCAGTCGAGTCCGATGCAAGACACGCAAGTGACGCAACCCATAGCAACGAGTCATGGCAACGACAGCTCAAACCGACAGAAACATACAAGTAAACGTGAATTTTGTCACATTGTCATGTTAATTATAATCAAATGGATTTTGTTTTATTGAAAACAATATTATCATTGATATTTGTTTGAGAGGGGCACTTTCGATTAATTTTAACAAGCTTGTGGCCCCGCCCAGTGGAGTTACTACGTCACAACTCCAGTCTATTTTAAACGGCATTTTAGCGTCTGCTACTGATTCACAGCCATTTGAATGTAGAAATACTCAGAAATACAACTTTGAGCTTATTTTTCTCAAGATATGTCCTCTAACATAAGAAAAATGCCACAAGAACATGTTAACACCTAGAAAAACATTATTTTCATCGGAGTGGGTCTTTAACAATCCTTAATGATTATACCTGAACAATTAGATACAGTAAGCGGTTTCTTAATTTAAGAGGTTTGTTCCATATTCACAGTGTTTCAAAAAATGATGTCCAGAATACTTATTCGGTAATGATAGAAAATCTGCGGAAGGAAACTGCAGGCACATTCACTCTTTCATAGGCCTACTTTCTGCAAATAACAGTGATTATTATAGTTGTAGGAATCAACCATTAGGCTATTCCACACAATGCACTGATTAACGTCACTCACTTTTCCCCTAAGAAGCTGAGACAAAATATTTAACGCATGTGACTTAAAACCATATCAAATTACAGTACAAAGTTAGAGCAGCAGTTTTTTAAATACTTCTTTTAGAACATAAACTGTGGATAAAAAAATCCAAGGCCACAGACTTACTGCAATAATCATTATAGACTCTCTGTGTCTTTGCATGAGGTTTAACCCTGTTTACTATACAAATGATTTTGAGATTCCTTGAGTTACAGTGAATGAAACAACTGTCAGACTCAGACTTCTCTGAGATGGCAATGTTGGTACCACTTTGATAAATAAAGGGACCATTTAAACTAAAAAGTGGTTATTTTTATACCATATAGTTGTTCAACAAGGAGTTCTGGATTTTGTTTTATAGAGGGAACCAGAGACTGTCATTTTGTGTTACTTTCCACCTACTTTGCTTGAGATCACGATAGCAGGGACAGATTTATAAAACCAGAACATTAGCCATAAAGACCTGCAAATCATGCTAACTCGAGCTGCTTATACAAATAAGGACAAAATAAATGAAATTGTCAATAGAAACAAAGAAAGAGGGATTTACAAAAATTAAAACCTAGCCGACAGTGGCTGGAGCAGGCAGGCCATTTTGAATGGAAGAGAATTCAATTAGTTAATATTAATTATCTTAAAAAGTATATTCTATATAAAAGTACAAGAATACATTCAAATGTTTAAAAAAACATTAAAATGTAGCCTATACAACCAATAAAGCATCAAAACATTGTCAAACATCTGAATAAATAGCAACAACACAGGACAAAACAAGCATAAATAATTGAAATACAATATTTATAAACCGACATTAAGTAATATGTTTTTTTTAAAATATAGATATAAAATTATCTGCAAAACAATGTCAAATAATTGCATATTAGTGTAACGCAGACAGAAAGATATTCCAAATACAGTAGTCGCCTTGCAACTTGCGAGCACTGTAATTAAATTAAAAAGAGAAAAAAAGTTTGTTTGTTTCTTTCAAACCCATTGTCCCTCCCTACAACTACGATTGGTGGATGCGTGAGGCCCCGCCCTAATTCGCAGCCCTGTAGAGAGTGACGTTTGTTTATAATCTCAGACAGCATATATTTGGTTCCATCCAGTTTCGATTTAACGACATAAGGGAGAATCAAGAGTCAAGACAGCCCGAGTCAATTAATACAGCTTAAACATGTATTTTAAGATGATTGTGGCGTTTCTGGCGGTGATGTTGGCCGTGGCGAGCGCTGGGCTGGTTGGAGGTCCTATAGATGCAGACATGAACGACGACGGAGCTCAGAATGCGTTACAGTTTGCAATGGTCCAGTACAACAAGCAAAGCAATGATGTATTTGTGCGTCAGGTTTCCGAAGTCGTCAAGGTTCAAAAACAAGTAAGTAGGCCTACTTTAAACGTTTGTTTTGTCATTTATACTCGGAACGTCGCTAAATCACACCCAGTGAGAAACATCGGCCGCTGTCATGGTGGAACGCCCTGATTTCGCCGAGACGTGTTTCTATGTTACATATTCTATGTCAACATATTTTGTTGATTCTGGAACAACATTCCTGTCAGTTTTGTAGCCCTAACCAGATCCCTACAACTAAACCTTACCTAAGACATAAGTTAGGATATCCCTAAAATCAGAGGGAAATGATAGGTGAATAGGAATGGTGTAGAAGCACCTAACCCTGGTTTTAAGTAACTTGACATTAACTGTAAACCTATCAGTCAAATCTGATTGGTTGATTAGAATGTTAATCCAGGAACATGTTACACTTGGTGAAATCAGGTTCTGCGTCATGGTGTGTATGACTGTCACATGCGAGTATGACTGTGTCAACAAACCTGATTTAATTGACATAATCCTGTTTAAAACAAGGCAGTGACAGTCACAAAGGTGTGACAATATGTGACTGTATACAAATAAATGTATAACAAATAACTGTCTGAATATATTTTTTAAACTTACTATTTTTTTAATAGTAAGTTATCCAGTAGCAACTAGTATTCAGCTAGTAATTCCATATGCCTATAGGATTTAATGGCAAACAATGGAATAAGGTATTTATTATCAATATTGTTAAAGTGATTTGTAGCAAAGAAGTTAACACTGGTATGAGGAAGTACTAAGTATCTAATGAATAGTTATGAGAGATGTTGGAAAATATACTAGGAATAAATAAAGAATATATGTTAAAACAAATAAATATTTTCAGAACCCTTGAAATTTTTGCCAGTTGTATCCAAAGCAATATACAAAAAGAATTGTTGGCCCCAACATGGAAACTATTTATATCATAGGCCACATAAGGGATTTAAAAAAAAAAGGTAAGACAGTAAAAGATTTTTCAGATGTGATGTTTTAAACAGTATTTGAAGTATGACCAATGTTTTTTGAAAATTGACAAAACTACCAAAAATTGCTATGAACAACTTTTTACTGCTTAAAATGTCCTCTTTGCTCACATCATGATATGATCATGGTAAGAAAGATATTTTAAGCATCAGTTAATGTAGGTTGTTTTTGTGAAATTGTGACGCATTACATCAGGGTTTACCCAACAATGTCTGAACATGTTTCTGGTTGCTCTAGGTTGTCTCGGGCCTGAAATACATCTTCACTGTGAAAGTGGCCAGAACATCTTGCAGGAAGGGTGGAGTTGAGACCCTGTGTGTCGTTCATGAGGACCCTGCTGTTGCAGACGTAAGACACACTGTCTCATTTACAGTATTACAGTTACCTGTTTGCATTTATCAATTTCCATATTAAAAGAGATTTCCTTTTTTTCCTTTTAGGTCACTCAGTGCAAAATAGTGGTCTGGAGCCAGCCATGGTTAAAATCAATTAAAGTAGTTGAAAACACCTGCATGTAGAGCATGTTTCTAGTGCAGTTTGAGGCTTTTTAACAATCATGCAGCAATAAAATTGACTTATTGCTAATTATGGTAAACTAGTCTTTACTATTCATAAAATAGGAATTTGATTTGTCATGATAACCTTTGATGTCAACAACAAATCATGATATAAGAATGCTTAACTAACACAATAATCATGTAATCTCATTAGACTCAATTGCTTTGAAAAAATCTACGATTTGTAAGAATTTCTAAATAATAAACTGCATTTTCCAATATTTGTTCATCCTTTACTTATTAAAACATGGTTGAATGAGATATGTCTGTGCACTGTTTTTTGGTTAAATACATTTTGGGAGTCATACTGATTTGGAGGATTGAGAACACTGTATATTATTTTGTGAATGTATACATAAACAAAGAAAACAACCCAATAGTATTTATGATAATAACAGTTATAGGAGTGTAAATACCAGAACTGATATATTTGTATGTGATTTTAAATTTAATGTTTACAGTTTTATAAATACCTCAATCTTGCACTCACACCTTTTCTCCGAATATCAAATAAACCTCTGCAGAATTACTGCATTGATACAAGCATTTTGATACAAGGGTTGAAACTATTTCTTTTACCACAACTGCAAAAGAGTTTGATCAGCTTTATAGTGTTTTGTTTTTCTTTCCCTCATAAAAAGGATGAAGGATAATAAGGATATTTATTTTTATCATGCATGTTCCAATAATCCCTATGGCGTTTGCGTGACAAGCCAGTGGTGTACAGAAATTTATACTAATAAAATAATTTATACTAATTACACTGTAGAAATGTAAGGTGTATAGCAGTATTATGTTATTTTAATTTCAGCACAGCATAGTTAGTACTCCGCTATGAAGCTTATCTATTAATAAATTACCTTCAAAAACGTTTCACAAGGAATAAATCTTGAAAAAAAATTTAAAATTGCAATGAACAATTTTGTATGTTTGTTATAATGATGCGAGTTGTCAGTTGTCGTTTTTCATTACTACTGTATGTTACTACTATTTATGTCTTTTAAAATACATTGATCTTGCCATGTGTCACAATCGGGTATACACACACAATGAAGATGAATCTCCAATAAAGTCTTTAATATGCAAACACAGATGAAGACAGGTAAATCGAAATAACACGTATGCATTGGCGAGGCCGGACAACTTATAGACAAGGGAACTTATACAGGGAACAAACAAAGGTAACTTGTTAGTTAACAGCTGAACAGAATGACTAATCAAATGAGTGATCGTATTAGCTAATAACGAACTCAGGAAGGAAAACAGAAATGACAGAAAACAAACTCAAAACTGAACATAACTGTGACATTATGCCCCATCCTGGAAAGGCGCAACCTTGCGCTGACAGTCCAAATGAGGGAGGAGTCTCAGAAGGAGGACACAGAGTAGCCTGAGTACAAGTACAGGAGAGCAGGGAAGATGAAAGAAGGCAGAGCCTGACTGAGCCGTGGCCGTAAGGGGAAAAAGATGGCGGGAGAGGGAGGCTGGGCGGAGACACTGAATACTTTGTGCTGAACGGGACCAGCAAGGGTGCAGGGCTGGGTGGGATCAGCGGGGGTAGAGGCTCATGCTCTCCAAACACCAGCAAACTATGGCGAGTGAAAAGTGACATTTCTAAGACTACACTGAAGAAGGAGAAGGAGCAGTCTACCCTTCCGTCGCCGTCAGTCCGTGTCTATTTTTGAATGGGATTGATAGAGACGGCAGACGACAGACCGGCGGCGACGTCACGGCGACGTCACAGTTGGAACGTATACCTTACGGCGACGTGGCGATGGCGTATGTGAGAAATGCATAAAAAAATCAGACGTCTGAACTAGGCACGTCGCATCATAAGACGCCTGATACACACGTCGTCCCTCTGTACGTCGCATCATAAGACGCCTGATACACACGTCGTCCCTCTGTACGTCGCATCATAAGACGCCTGATAAACACGCCGTCCCTCTGTACGTCGCATCATAAGACGCCTGATACACACGCCGTCCCTCTGTACGTCGCATCATAAGACGCCTGATACACACGCCGTCCCTCTGTACGTCGCATCATAAGACGCCTGATACACACGCCGTCCCTCTGTACGTCGCATCATAAGACGCCTGATACACACGTCGTCCCTCTGTACGTCGCATCATAAGACGCCTGATACACACGTCGTCCCTCTGTACGTCGCATCATAAGACGCCTGATACACACGTCGTCCCTCTGTACGTCGCATCATAAGACGCCTGATACACACGTCGTCCCTCTGTACGTCGCATCATAAGACACCTGATAAACACGTCGTCCCTCTGTACGTCGCATCATAAGACGCCTGATACACACGCCGTCCCTCTGTACGTCGCATCATAAGACGCCTGATACACACGCCGTCCCTCTGTACGTCGCATCATAAGACGCCTGATACACACGTCGTCCCTCTGTACGTCGCATCATAAGACGCCTGATACACACGCCGTCCCTCTGTACGTCGCATCATAAGACGCCTGATACACACGCCGTCCCTCTGTACGTCGCATCATAAAACGCCTGATACACACGTCGTCCCTCTGTACGTCGCATCATAAAACGCCTGATACACACGTCGTCCCTCTGTACGTCGCATCATAAGACGCCTGATACACACGTCGTCCCTCTGTACGTTGCATCATAAGACGCCTGATAAACACGTCGTCCCTCTGTACGTCGCATCATAAGACGCCTGATACACACGCCGTCCCTCTGTACGTCGCATCATAAGACGCATGATACACACGCCGTCCCTCTGTACGTCGCATCATAAGACGCCTGATACACACGTCGTCCCTCTGTACGTCGCATCATAAGACGCCTGATACACACGCCGTCCCTCTGTACGTCGCATCATAAGACGCCTGATAAACACGTCGTCCCTCTGTACGTCGCATCATAAGACGCCTGATACACACGCCGTCCCTCTGTACGTCGCATCATAAGACGCATGATACACACGTCGTCCCTCTGTACGTCGCATCATAAGACGCCTGATACACACGCCGTCCCTCTGTACGTCGCATCATAAGACGCATGATACACACGCCGTCCCTCTGTACGTCGCATCATAAGACGCCTGATACACACGTCGTCCCTCTGTACGTCGCATCATAAGACGCCTGATACACACGCCGTCCCTCTGTACGTCGCATCATAAGACGCCTGATAAACACGTCGTCCCTCTGTACGTCGCATCATAAGACGCCTGATACACACGCCGTCCCTCTGTACGTCGCATCATAAGACGCCTGATACACACGTCGTCCCTCTGTACGTCGCATCATAAAACGCCTGATACACACGTCGTCCCTCTTTACGTCGCATCATAAGACGCCTGATACACACGTCGTCCCTCTGTACGTCGCATCATAAGACGCCTGATAAACACGTCGTCCCTCTGTACGTCGCATCATAAGACGCCTGATAAACACGTCGTCCCTCTGTACGTCGCATCATAAGACGCCTGATAAACACGTCGTCCCTCTGTACGTCGCATCATAAAACGCCTGATACACACGTCGTCCCTCTTTACGTCGCATCATAAGACGCCTGATACACACGCCGTCCCTCTGTACGTCGCATCATAAGACGCCTGATACACACGTCGTCCCTCTGTACGTCGCATCATAAGACGCCTGATAAACACGTCGTCCCTCTGTACGTCGCATCATAAGACGCCTGATAAACACGTCGTCCCTCTGTACGTCGCATCATAAGACGCCTGATACACACGTCGTCCCTCTGTACGTCGCATCATAAAACGCCTGATACACACGTCGTCCCTCTTTACGTCGCATCATAAGACGCCTGATACACACGCCGTCCCTCTGTACGTCGCATCATAAGACGCCTGATACACACGTCGTCCCTTTGTACGTCGCATCATAAGACGCCTGATAAACACGTCGTCCCTCTGTACGTCGCATCATAAGACGCCTGATACACACGCCGTCCCTCTGTACGTCGCATCATAAGACGCCTGATAAACACGTCGTCCCTCTGTACGTCGCATCATAAGACGCCTGATACACACGCCGTCCCTCTGTACGTCGCATCATAAGACGCATGATACACACGCCGTCCCTCTGTACGTCGCATCATAAGACGCCTGATACACACGTCGTCCCTCTGTACGTCGCATCATAAGACGCCTGATACACACGCCGTCCCTCTGTACGTCGCATCATAAGACGCCTGATAAACACGTCGTCCCTCTGTACGTCGCATCATAAGACGCCTGATACACACGCCGTCCCTCTGTACGTCGCATCATAAGACGCCTGATACACACGTCGTCCCTCTGTACGTCGCATCATAAAACGCCTGATACACACGTCGTCCCTCTTTACGTCGCATCATAAGACGCCTGATAAACACGTCGTCCCTCTGTACGTCGCATCATAAGACGCCTGATACACACGCCGTCCCTCTGTACGTCGCATCATAAGACGCCTGATAAACACGTCGTCCCTCTGTACGTCGCATCATAAGACGCCTGATACACACGCCGTCCCTCTGTACGTCGCATCATAAAACGCCTGATACACACGTCGTCCCTCTTTACGTCGCATCATAAGAAGCCTGATAAACACGCCGTCCCTCTGTACGTCGCATCATAAGACGCCTGATACACACGCCGTCCCTCTGTACGTCGCATCATAAGACGCCTGATAAACACGTCGTCCCTCTGTACGTCGCATCATAAGACGCCTGATACACACGCCGTCCCTCTGTACGTCGCATCATAAGACGCCTGATACACACGCCGTCCCTCTGTACGTCGCATCATAAGACGCCTGATACACACGTCGTCCCTCTGTACGTCGCATCATAAAACGCCTGATACACACGTCGTCCCTCTTTACGTCGCATCATAAGACGCCTGATAAACACGTCGTCCCTCTGTACGTCGCATCATAAGACGCCTGATACACACGCCGTCCCTCTGTACGTCGCATCATAAGACGCCTGATAAACACGTCGTCCCTCTGTACGTCGCATCATAAGACGCCTGATACACACGTCGTCCCTCTGTACGTCGCATCATAAAACGCCTGATACACACGTCGTCCCTCTTTACGTCGCATCATAAGACGCCTGATAAACACGCCGTCCCTCTGTACGTCGCATCATAAGACGCCTGATACACACGCCGTCCCTCTGTACGTCGCATCATAAGACGCCTGATAAACACGTCGTCCCTCTGTACGTCGCATCATAAGACGCCTGATACACACGCCGTCCCTCTG